TCCAAACCAAGCAATGCTGACAATCACCAGACAATCATTGTTGTCACCTTGAGCCGCTCAGTTCACAGTCTTCATCACTGACAGAAAGGAGGCCAGGCTACTGGTGTCTCAGGAGGCAGAAGGGAAAGGGTAAGATCTCCAGGGACTGGCGGCATCTCTTCTAACATCTGCACTGTGGAGCAAAAAGGAGAACACCTAGCTGCTTCCCCAAGGTAAATCTGCAGACTCTGAGTATTCATTGTCTAGAGAACACTTCGCTATTGTAGTCGTAGACAAATCAGAAAATGCTCTAGTATGAGATAAGAAAGGAGTTGTTAGGAATCTCTTTCTCTCTCCCTTCACTCGGCACTCGCACACAAACACACACACAAGCACATAACACACACCCACATACACCACTCAAGAAAAGATACAATTATGGTGTTAAAAAGAGTCGCTAAAATCTGAAAGGTTATCAAGCCGTATCTGTAAAATGTCCTGTGAAGAAAGACTGTGCAAGCCCAGATCCTGGCAGAATTCACACTGGATGTTTATGAGGAAGGGTATGACTTCAGAAAGACCATGCGGTCTCATCCTGCCACTGAACTGAGAACATATTAATTCAGTTTGGCCACCTGGGGCCCATTTAGTACACTAGAGCAGTAATTTGCTAAATGGGTCCCTCGTAGTAAAATAGAATGAGTAAACACTGAACAATTTAGGATGGTAAACCACTAGTAGCTCAAGGGATATACAAATGTGAAGCTATAATTAGATTCCTTGTTCATAATGTACAAACTAAAAATATTACATGGTAAATTGTATCTTTCTGAGTTTATTTCTGGACACAGCTGAGCCCTTAATAGTTCACATAGAATCTATCTCAGCTATCAATTCATGCTTCCATTAAAATTCCAACTGCTTATATTAGGAAATAATCTCAAAAGTGGTTTCTTTTATCTTAGATATAAGGATGTACCCAGGATTAACCTAGAGCAGCAAATCAGTTATAAAGCACGCGGCAGAAAGTAATAGAATATTATGTTCTCACAGAATTTAGTTGACATACAGGTTTACAAACTTTATGTCTTTTATGTCTGATGTTTCTTTTCAGGGTTATCTTTTAGCATTTTAAGATGTGATTCTTTGGGGCTGGTGAGATGGCTCAGCAGGTCAAGTCACTTGCCACTAACTATGATTTCAATTCCTGGGACCCACATGGCAGATGCTTACTACACCCGTGGTTGGTCCTCTGTCTTTCATATGTGAACCAGGGGACAGACGCGCAGACACATACATATCACACACACACACACATACAGACATGTGTGAGTACACACACAGACACACCGACACACAGACATGCAGACATGTGCGAGCATGCACAGACATGTAAGCAAATGTGCACGCGCGCACACACACACACACACACACACACACACACACACACACACACACACAAAACGTTAAACGAGAGATGCCATTCCTTGTGCCTGCCCAGCATGCAGAAGGACCTGGGGTCAAGCTCCAAAACAAAGTGATTGCTTGGAAAGTGTGGCTGGGCAGAAGCAGCAGAGGACTGCATGCTTGGAACACTTCAAAGGGGAGGCCATAGTGTGATGTGCTGTGGGATTACAATGATGCCTTCCCCACCTGCAACTATTCGAAGCTGCCTGGAAAACATTAAAAAAACAAAAACAAAAATGACACAGTCCTTCTTTTATTTCCAGCAGTTGTATACTATGGGCTGATACAGAGGTCTGAGTGATGTTCCACGGTACTAGAAACCTCCATGCTCAAGTTTCATTGCTCTTTACCAATTTGCTATCTCAACTACAGGGTTCTGTCTTATCTGGTGTTATAAGGATCCTCTACACTCTCTGAAATTCTCATTTTTTTTCTTTCCTTTCACATCATGGTTTAGTCTCTTCAGAGAGGTTTAGGATCACATCGTGGGCCTTTCTTGCCATTCTGTTCTCCCTGCCAGTGGGATTCCTGAGCAGTATTGGGAGAGGCCAGTTTTCAGATTATAGATTCTAGCCATGAAATCTGGCAAAACTTTACTTTTTAACATCTGCTTTTAAAAGATAATTCTTTTAAAATTTTAATTTTATTTATTATGCATATGGGCATTTTGCCTGCATGTATGTCCGTACACCACATCACTGTCCACAGAGGCTATACTAAACATTGGATTTCCTGGGCCTAGAGTTACGTGTGGTTGTGAAACACTATGTCGGTGCTGGGATTCGAACTCAGGTCCTTTCCTAGAGTAGCAAGTGCTCGTAACCGCTGAACGGGTTTTCCAGCTCCAACAACTGCTGCTCTTTGTTATGGTGGGAAGGATGTATTTTGGCTCACAGTTGGAAGGTAGAGAGAACATCATTGCAGGGAGAGCCTTGGGCACCTTCTTTTTTATTCTGTAGATGGTGCTGCTCACTTTCGGCTTTTGTGTTTCTTCAGCTAAACCTTTCTGAAATCATGCTCATTGACACATCCAGAGATTTTCCCATGGTGATTCTAAATCCAATCAAGTTGGATTTAATAAAGCGTCTGAGTTAATCCATTGAGCTAACAGTGTCTGGTAACTATTCCTATAACTTTCTTTTCAAGACAGGGTGTCACTACACAGATGAGGCTGGCCTCAGAGTCACAGATATCTGCCATTCTCTGCCTCCCGAGTGCTAGGATTAAAGGCACTGCCACTCCAGCTTACTATAGCTATGCACACAGACATGCACACATATACTTATATGTGTATGTATCCATATACCTATATATGCACATATATTTACATGTGTGAACACACACATATTCATATATTACTATAATAAATAGTTTTTTGAAACCCAAAGCTATGATATAGATTATTATTAATATCATTATTATTGGTTCTTTTGAAACAGAGTCTTACTTTGTAGCCTTGGCTGTCCTGGGGCTTGCTAAGTAGAACAGACTGGCTTTGAACTCATGAAGCTCTGTCTGTCTCAGCCTCCCTAGTACAAGCGAAGACTTATTCTTTTAAAAAGATTTATTTTTATGTGTATGAGTGATTTGTCTGCAGTATGTCTGTGCATCACATGGTGCACTGCCTTCAGAGGAAGCTATCATTCGGGTCCTTTGCAATAGCAGTCCATGCTCTTGGCTGCTGAGCTACCTCTCCAGTCCCATTAAAGAAGAATAGAGGACATAATGTTTAGGAAATCCAAAAATTCTTGAAAAGCTGTTTTTTGTCCTGGCTGCTTTCTCCATCCATATTTAATGAAACTGTGTAGATAACTCAAAAACTAGGTGCCTTGATGGGAATTTCAGTTCTCGTTCTCTCTCTCTCTCTCTCTCTCTCTCTCTTTCTCTCTCTCCCTTTGTCTCTCTCTCTTGTCAGCTCGAATTTCTTGAAATGAAGGCAGATCCTGAATAGCGCAAAATTAAAACTCTCAAATGCAAATATCTAGATTCATAAAGCAACCTTGAGAGTGGCAATTCAAAGAACAAAATTTACTCAATTATTTCAAATAGTAAATTGTCCCAGATCTGCTTGCTTCATCAATAAAAAAGTTTTCAGTGAACACCCATACAGCAAAGGTGTAGCTTTGGTGATGAACTCAGCACTGGGGAGGCTGAGGAGGAAGTATGGAGTTCAAGAGCAGGCTATACTGGGAATCCTGGCTCCAACCACCCTACCCGCTTCTACTCCCCGCCCCGAGTGTTTGTAAGTAAAATCCAGAGAAGTCTAAGAGAAAACAACGGTCTATCTCCTATATCACTATGTTTCCTTTCTAATCTTTATTTTTTCGTCCACTGCTCTGTGTCATTAAGCTCCTTTTAAACTTAAAATCATTAGGATACAAGTCCTTAGCTGTTTTTGTCCTGATAAGAAAGGGGATAAGATAAGTTTAATTTCAGTGGTTTCCACGAAGCACGTTCAACTCCCTTCTAAAACAGACTTTCCAAAGTCTTCAAGGGTCTTGAGAAAATGTCAGGAAGACCGGGCCAGCGCTCCTGGGAATTGTGTATTTTGTCTTACACAAAGCCTCGCCTATATAGAGTCCCTGAAAGCCCTCACTTTCAATTAGCCTGGAAAACAAAACTCATCTGTAAAGCGGGTGAGGAGCAAGTTAATGAAAAACGTTCACCAGGCACAGGGTTCAACAGCAGAGGGCACAATACCCACTGGCCAGGGCCAGAGGCTTGGCGGTGAGGGTGGGCAGAACCTGAGGATCGCTGGGTTTTGTAGTTCGCTATTAGTCTCGTCTGCATGTTCTCCCGGGAGCTGAACTACAACCCCCACATTGCACTGCTTGCTCTTCTCCCCACCTAGCCTCTGGTCCGCGGAGAAACCTCCTGGGAAATAGCCCCGCCCCGCCCCGCTCCCGTACGCACGCGTCACGTTTGTTTACCCTGAGGCCCCGCCCCAGACTCCCGCTCTCCCCGCTCCGCCCAGGAATGTCGTCAGCCCAATGCCTATTCATGATCAACTCCGCCCCGCCCGCCTTCCCGCGCTTCATTAATATTCATGACCGAGCTCAGGCCGCAGCTCCCGGGCGCTGAGGCTGTCCGGCAGCGGGCGGGGCCTGGCGCTGGGGAGCCCGCGACCCGCGGGGAGGGCGTGTGGGGGGG